TGAAACCACTTTGTGGGCAAATCTTAATTAAGACCTCTAATACGAGGAATTTCCAAGATCCAGTACTAGGGTACTGGATTTTGGAAAGACCGACACAGAATTTATTGTACTGTTACCAGTACATACTAAGTGCGGGCGAACTTAGTTTTTTGAAATTTTTGTATTGTAAATTGCGCTTTCAAATCTATCTAGACTCGCTCTACAACTCGTTGACTGCGGCGCGTTGGCTGTTTGGGACACCTTCTTCCTCTTGTTGGATGGTACAGCCATACGAAGTCGATTGTCTTCAGTTCAAAGTCGATCTTCATCTTCCAGGGTAAGGTTTCGCTGGTTCCCAAGTTAGTTTTCTGTAGCAAACCCATAACACTAAATAGAATTTTAAGTTGTGCACCCATCGCTTCGCGTAGAGTCGCTCAATGTCGTAGAGCTCCCCGCTTTGTCCCCGTCGAGCTTGTGTGCCATTAAAAAGACCCGTTCCTCGATGGACTTCCACGTTACTTGTTCTAATGTCTTCGTTGCTTGGCGGTTTTGTTCGGAGGTTGATGTTTTTCTTCATCTGATAGGAGGAGCCGTCAATCTTGCGCTTGAAGTTCAAGGCATGTTTCTTGCGCTTGTTGTGTGGCGGCATCGTGCCAATTGCCAAGTGACTGCTGCGGTGCGCATTATAAGACCATCAGAACTATAATATTAGAAAAAAAAATGTCAGGTTTTGCAAAATGATTTTTGTTAAGTATATTTCTGATATTTAAGTTTGAGATAATTTCAATGAGATGTAAAATTTGCTTTATATAAGAATTAATCAGGTGACTACCTTTGAGGCGACACAGGAGATAATTAACTTGTCCTCCAATTCTGCGAATGCTTCCTTCATTTTTTTGGGATCTACATTTGAAATAAGCAACTACAAAACTATTGGATTAAAAAAAAAGTTTTTTTGTTCACCAAACATGCTCAAAAGGTGCTAAAGAAAAAAAGAAATATATTAGCAATATTGGAGCAACGTTTGGAAATACGGAAAATGCAAATCTCAAATATCACAATGACAACTCAGAGCTACCGTTTAAAGAGCGTTCCGAGTCGGACGACGTTTGTGCTTAGGCTTTGGGCCTGGCTTCATACCACGCTTCCCTTTTTGCTCTTCGTCTATCTGAAGTAGAGGGACTAGAAGGGTAGTATCCGTCTCCAAGGTCACGTCTTTTGACCAAGGTCGAAAGTGAAAATTGTAGGTTGTGCTGAAAGACTTGATCGACATCTTGTCCGCGTCGTACAGATCATCCAGGCGACACCCGTCTTGGATAGCAGCGCAAATAGAGTGGATGCAGGGAAATACTTGATCCTGCCAATTGCCGCAGGTGCACTGTTTAGCTGGAAGATAAACCAATCTCCAAGTGTGTATGTGCCCTTGCCATTTTTCAGGTCCGAGGTGCTGGACTGAGTAAGCGCCTTCCATCAGAAGAACAAACTGGCACATTGTGGCGGCAGTCATTCTATCCCTGATCTGCGCTCCAAAAACAGGTACCAAACTCGAATCAGCGTTGTTACGTGCCCAATTTACTGCCATTTGGCGCTTCTCGGAAGCCAATTCACTTAATTTCTGGAAGTATAGATGAAGAACGCTCAGTGGCTTAGCACTGCGTAGCTACGATCCCATCCACTGATTGGCTTGTTTGGAGAGGTTCGATGTAATTTCGTTAAACGTGGACAGACCAAACGTTTCCTGAAATTTGTACTTAACCCAGTGTTTGCGTCAATTTTGTCGAGATATTCTGCTGCGGCTGGTGTCGAAGCGGCGAGCTCGTTGCGGAACATATTGTAGTCATTTTCGCAGTCACTACGAGTCATTTGACATTCGATACGTCTATCGTCAATTGACAACCTTGCCCCCTGGCGATTGATGTTGTCTATGATGTGTCGCAGGCAGAACCTGTGTCCAACATCGGGAAAAACGTCAACCACAAATGCTAAAAGGCCCTTCTGGCGGTCGGAAATTGCTGTAAACTTAACTAAGCTTGTTGCAAATTTCAAAGTTGTTAAAAACCAGTGCCAATTCTCATAGTTTTCGACTGGAACCAACGCTAGTGCAAAAGGTACGACGTGATTGTTGAAATTATTGGCAGTTGCAACGAGGAAAACGCCAATCATGTTCATTACTCCCTTCAGGTGGGTTCCGTCAAACCAACAATAGGCTTGCACATTTTGACGATATGAATTCCAACATTTAGAATGAAGCATGCTCGTCGAAAAGTAGCGTTTTCAATTTCACGGTCAAGTCTCCACACAGAATTGGGGTTTTGCTCCTCCATTAACTTGAAGTACGCCTCTAGTTTCTGGTAACTTTCAATGACGTCTCAGCGGAGCCTATCGTCAATGTCCATCTTCATCCTAGAGATAGCGCTGCTTGAAATTGTGAAACGACGGGATTTGAGAAACTCACGTATCGATCTTCCATCTAAGGATGTCGT